CTCCGTTTGATTCCCCTGTTCCTTGAGCACTGTGTTTAAGTCCAGCTCCGTGTTCTTTCTTGCTCTAGTGCATTTTTAGCACAGATTTTTTTTTTCTGTGAGTATTTATCTGATGATGTGGCCCAAAACATTTCTCCTCCAACCAGCTGCTAATGCATGCTATTTCCAGAGTTGATGGGGGTCTCTCTCTCTTTCTCTTTTCCATATACACATGTTCTGTGGTGAGAGAGAGAGAGTGTAAACTAATACATGTATGTATGGTAATAAAGTGCTTCCCAGAAAAGCAAGTTTTTTTTTAAAGAAATCTATTTACATGCAGGAATAGAGCTAGGGCCATATGGCAGGGATGATTCGTCTTAACCTGAGATGTACTCATGGGACTGTCACATGCACCCCTTCACAAACAGGATTGTTTAGTCAGATAAATCAATTGGATGTCAGTGTGCCTAATGGTAAATGTAGCTCTGGTGTTTTATAGTAGCTTGAGTTGAGAGCTTCTTTTTTTCTTCTTTGATTGAAAGGTAGCCTGTAACTGGATCAATTTCTTTAGCCCTAATGGGATAAGGAGGAGAGTGCTTTGATATTATAAGGATGTGCTTTTCCAGCAATGCTACCAGGTTTAGCAAACTGAAGTTCTCACTACTTATCCCTGTACAAAAGATGCTTAGGAAAAGGGATCTCTGTGAAGCGAAGTTGTGATGAGCCTTTTCCAGTGATCTTGACAAACAATTTGGCCTACAATTTCACTTGTCCTTTAGATTTGAATCTTTTTTTGGAGGGGGGGGAAGAAGAGAGGGTAGGTTTTAACCTTAGGATGATTGATGTTTGTTTGTTTTTAAGTTATCGATAGCTAAATTAGGGTTTAAACATGACTAGCTGACATGATGCTGAACAGGGTTTGTGCCTTATCTATGCTGGATGTACTGTTGTGGTCAGTATTCTATAAGTTAATTGGAGTCTTCACCATAATGTTTTGCAGTGAAGACCAGGCTTCCAAGCTAGACTATGTCATTTAGTGTAGCCCTGTGTTGAGGGGTGATGCAGACCCTAGAGGGACCACAGTCTCAGGGAGCATTAGAGCTCCCTCTTTCATTGTCCCCAAAGAGCAGCCAGCAGGCCCTCTGTCTGGGGAGTTAAGGAGACCACATGACCAGAAAGTAGTTCCTTGCCATTCCCCCATCCTCTGCTGGCGGTGGAGCTCTGCTGACTGTTCTGCATGCTTGGGAGAATGCAGAGCACTGGATCAGGCCTATTTCTATTGCTACCATCCCTGATGAACACCAGGGAGAAGACAGCACTAGTGGAGTGGGGCAATCTTCTATAGACTTGCTGTGAAAAACCCATCCCTGTTCAGGGACAGCCACCACATTTGTGAGCATCCCAGCCTCCACTGACTCACTTTCAAGCATTAACTGTTACAATGAATTTATTGAAGTCGTAATTCCTTCCAGTGGGTTCATGTGAAGTGAACAAAACTCCTGTTAACATAAAGAAGACTGGTGACAGGAGACTGTTCTAGAGGTATAGGACTTAAAACTGAGAATCTGCCTCCTGTTTCTGTCCTGAACTGTAACTGCAAAAAGAACATGCTTCATAAATCAATGAAACCCTGAGTAACGTGGGAGTGATTTATAGGCTTGTGCTTGTTTTTTGCAGCATTTAAGTGCCTTCACCACAAGACCATCCCTTCTCTTCCTGTAATCCTTTTCCTCATTCACTACTCATCTTCCAGCTTCTGCAACAAATGCAGATAAAAGATTTCACAGGCAACTTTATTCTGGCATTTCCTGACTTTTGAGTGCTTGACTTTGCAACCTTAATAATGTTTAATTCACATAGTTTATTGTGTGTAAATTCCAAACTGAAACCCCCCTCAGAAATTCCATCAGGTGGCATGATATTGACACCCACATGGGTCATCAGCAGAACTGGAACCTTGAGAGCCATTACACTAACCTCTGCCAGTGGAGCTAAGGGAATAAATGATAGCGGTAGCAGGTTGTCATCCTGTATGTGGACCAGTGTTGGCGCGGGATGAGAGAGTTTGCCAGGATTTCACGAATATTTGCTGACCGCTGAGGAGTGGGGAGACTCAGAGATCTTGGGTTCCATTCTAGGCTCTGTAGGGGAGTGTGCTCCGTGGGCACAGACTTTTCTGCTCTGACCCCCAAAATGTGATCATTTCTGCCCCATCTTTTCCAATGTGACCCTGCCCTAATCCTGTCTCTTCCTCACCCCTTGCTCCTTGTCCCAATCCCATTGTCCTCACCTAGCCAGTCCCAGCTTCCACTCCTCAGGGTTTTCATACCAGTCCCAGTCTACTTGCCCAGAAAGTCCTAGGTCTATCACTGTAGCCTATAGGTATAGGTATGTGCTAGGGGAAGCCTGGCATAAGGCCCCAAAACCCTTGGCATAAGTAGCTAACCAAGAGTAAGCTAGATCATAAGAATCACAAGATAAAACGCTGTAATAACTAAACTGCTGATAGGTAAGCACAATATGGGATTCTTTTTTAGGATATTTTTAGTTAAGGACATCTGCTGATGTCTGGTCACAAGAATGCCATGGTAAACTAATTGACACACATGCAAATAAGCATGTGGGGAAAGGATTAGTAACCTTTCGGAGACGGGTACCCCAACATAGCACCTAAATAAGCTATAAATAAGGAAAAGAGGCTGAAACCCCTACTGAATATGCATTAGGCATAGTGGTATCAGCATAACACATTATGAAAGTTGTATCCCAGCCTGTGTGCTTTGAGAGGGAGAGACGTAGCTCTTGGGAGATGCCAGGATGATGACCACTGGTGATGGTGAGGAAGAAGATGACTAACACTTCAGATTGTTTTGCAAGGGATGGGGATAAGTATATGGATGCTCCACTCATTTTATCCTTTTCTGCCTGCTTTGCTGGGTTGGAGTGTTTGTGAATTTGCTAACTGTATTAATAAAACTGTTATAAACCAGAGTGTGCATGTTACATTAGGACCTCTCAATGTGCATGGTTGCAACAGTAGTTCTGATAATACTGGGCCTGATCTTGATACAAGAACCTACCAAACTTCAGAGTGCTAATTAGGGAAACTAAATTAGTAATATAATCAGCATACAATTAATGGATCAGGCAACATTGCTTTGGACTTCCCATCCCTGTCTTCACCTTCTCCTTATCCAGCCATTTCCAGTGACCCCATCTTTTTGACCCAGTCTCATTGACCAGCAAGTCCCAGTACCTTTCCTTCTAGCTCATCCAATCTGTCTCCCTCCCACAATCTGTCCTCCAGTTCCCCCTTCCCCATGTTTTCCAGTCTCAATTTTCCTTCCCAGGCTCCTTGTCCAGTCTCAGTGTTTGCCCCCCAGCTCTTTGTCCCAGTTTCTACCCAGGTTCCTTATGCCAATCTATCCCTCACTCCCCTTGCAGGTCCAGCTCTTGTCCCCTCTGCATTTGAATCAAGCAGCTTTGTCTTCCAAACTGCCTGGGCCTAACGGGGGTCATTGACAGGCTTTCTGTTCTCATTTTCAGAACCATGACCTGAACCTGGACTCAGCCCAGCCAGCAGCAGCCCTGAGATGCAATGCAGGGAAAGCCCTGCTCAGTCTTGAGTTGGAGCAGGCCCGGTGCAATTGTAGGGTGACCAGATGTCCCAATTTTATAGGGACAGTCCCGATTTTGGGGGCTTTTTCTTATATAGGCACCTATTATTCCCCACCCCCTGTCTCGATTTTTCACACTTGCTCTCTGGTCACCCTATGCAATTGGTATCTTTGGGGAATTTTACTGCTAAAATCAAAGTCTCTTCTGAGCAGGAGTCAACTTCAATTTTTCCAAGGCTTATAACTTGGCCAAAGTTTGGAATATTTTCACAGGGTCATCAAAAGGCTCATCCCTGACACAAAGGCCACCCTATGCCAAACTTCAAGTCCCAGCTCCAAAATGGGGAGCACTAGAAGTTCTCAAAGTGAAGGTCACCAAAATTTAACAGGGGCAAAACAATATATCTTTCTCTAATCTGATTCTTGGAAACCATTTCAGCTGAAATTTTTCTAAAAAAGTCCAGTCTGAGGCAGACTGCCAGCATGGAAAATTTCAGCCAAAATGGTTTACATTCGGCAAAGTTATAAGCAACTGAAAACAGGATCTTATAATGGGAAATGTCAGGCAATCCTAATAATAGGCAGTGCTACCAGCCCCTCCCATAATATAAAAAACAGTCCTCTTCCCCCTCTATGTTCTAAGGTGGCTGTTGTAGCTGAACTAATTCCATAGTTTTCTGTAATTTCAAACTAGATTTTTTGTGTATAGTTTGTCTATGTCACACTGTGTTGACAGCCATTGAAGCAAACACTAGTATCTCTAGATATAGATTCTGAAATCTTGAATGCCGGGAAAGATTCCTTTCAAGAGATTATTTAGAGAGAATATTGTATTGGGGGATTAGCAGCGTGTTGTGTTGATTAGAGAAGTTGCGGGGAGGGTGCATAAGAGAGAGCTGCATACTACGATGCCCATGAGTAAAAATTATACAGCCTAACTTTTCCCTGCAGGCTCCAGTAAGCATATGCCATGTCACCCAGCAAGTGTTTGAAAATGTGGCATTTCACTGTAATTCTGTGTTAAAAGGTCTACAATTCAGTTCAAACTAAAAGCACTTGACTGCGTGAGTCTCCTAAGTGAAAAGGGATTCAGTGCACCCTGGCTAGTCACTGCACTGCTTGTGATTTTATGGCTCCATTGAAAAGCAAGCCCTTTCTCTCTGCTCTCTGGTACCTCAGAGATGTTTGCCTTGCACAGTTAGTCACAGAGACCCTGCAGTTATTTCACACACTCCTCTAATAAAGTCTTCCGTGGCTGTCATGTATTTCCCCTATTATCTCTCCCTGCTTGAGTCTCACAGATAATTGATGATGCTTTAGTTAATCATCTTCCCTCTCTTTTGTTCACCAGGTACCTCAGCCTTGAAGGGATCCTTTTCATTTAGAATTTGTGTCTTCTCCTAGGTAATTGATCACTGCTCACCCAGGGACGCCCAATTCGCAGCAGAGTGGGAGCAGGCATCATGAATAATCAAAAAGTCGTGGCTACACTGCTTCAGGAGTGCAAGCAAGCTCTCGATGTGCTCTCACCCAAGATGTCTGATGCATCGGAGGAAGACAAGAGAGAGTACCAGCAGTGCAAAGGTGAGGTCTCAACGAGAGGCCCCAGGAACAAGCCAGCAGATTGCTGTGAACTTCCTTGCCACAGTGACACATCCCCATCCCTGTCCTATTTTTCTTCTCCCAGCAGATGAGTGTCAGAAGATGACTGGATTTCTAGGACATGAATGGGATGTGGGCTACAGGCAGGCAGGGAAAGAAGCCCACTTTGTTGCAGTGAATTGCTGTCAGTTCCAATTTTAGGCTTCAGTAAACATGAGCCTATAAGGAACAGTTTAGTTTGGGAAGAACAATGCCCAAAAGTTTGCTGATGCACATAAATTTCAATTATTAAAAAAAAAAGATGCAACTTCTGAATGCTGGCACTTATTTACTTTCCTTTCACTAGGAATTTGTCTGTTGCTTATGTATTTAACAGTTTCTCCTCATCAAAAAATCTCACCATTTGAATCTCTTTCTTGTAAAACATGCAACACCTCTACAAGTGGTGTTCCAAGAAAAACACTTGCAATATCCATATTGAAAGAATATCCTCTGCCTTTAATATTTGGAATAAATACATACAAAATGAGTGCTAAGATTCAAGAGTTTTTCATTGCCTGTCCTATGGAGAAGCTAGCATTTATTTCAGCATTGTGTGATGGTTGGTGTTTTGAATTATTTCAATTCCAGTGAAATTTAAATTTGTATTAGATATGAGAACCTGCCAAATGTTACTGTTAGTTCTAGTCAGTCTGTAATAAACTTTCTAAGGGGCTACCCAACCTTACACCATCATAGCTTTTATTTTTCACATAAAGAATTCTTTTGAGTTTTCATTACTGAATTCGTTTTCTGAGTGTCTTTCTTTCTGTCACCAGCTGGAGAGTATACCTATTCTGTTTTGCCACACAGAAAAATTACTCATGCCCTGAATACAAAGGAAAATATTAATAGTTGAATCTGAGATTTTTAAAAAGCCAAAACCATTTTTTTTTAATAAGAGTGCATGTGTTTCTCACCAACTAGTTCACTTGTCTGTAGTTGGTACTATATGCATTCAGGGCATTCTCCCCACTTTGCATGAGTGATTCAATCCTAATAATATTTAGTACATATTGACCCATTTTGTATTCTAGTCTGCTTGGAACAGATTTGCAAACCCATGATCTTACTGGGAGGTCAGCTGGCTATCAAGCATCTCAGTTAGTTTCTGAGCATGGTTGTGTTTGAGGGTGGTGGATAGGTTTCTGTTATAGATACGGGAAGATTTTTCTTTTTCTACAAAGGGTACTTTGTTTTCTCATCACAAATTCCTTTAAGCTTTATCACTCTTTAGAATGGGCTCTTGAACTCCTAATCAGGTAGCGCTTTCTTCTTCATCCTTCTCTTCTTCTTTTCTCCTATTAAATGCCACAAAGCATGAGAAATAATCAGCTTAGTTCCAGATAAGGTAAATCAGTGCCCTTATAGTTACTAAATTAGACATGGCCCTTCAGGTAAACTGCTTCAGGAAGTGAGTGATCAGAGACTGAAGTGAGGCTCAGGCTTTTCTTAGGAAAGGCTGCCATGGGCTGGCTAAAAGAAAAAAATCCACTTGCAATGGGGCAGTGATAATAATATTAATACCTAATCATAGTTGCTGTCTGTGTGTGTATTCTACTGGAGGGCACAGACTGCAGGTTGGCTGGATGATCTCAGACTGCAGATCCCCTTTCCTATGGCAGGTGGCTTTTAAACAGCAGTAACAATCAGATTGTGATATAACTGATTCATCAAGCCCACATGTGCTTCCAACAGAATGGCATTAGTACAGGGTCACTTATGGCAGCAGTTTGAGCCAAGGGGATTCTCTGAACACAAACGCTGGGGGGTTTTCTTCTCTCCCCTCCCCCAGACATTGCCTTTGTCAAACTGGTTTTCAGACCAAACATAGGAACAACTGAAAGCCAAACACACACAAATGGGGAAAAAAAGAATCCTCACCATACCTTACTTAAGGTTTTTTGTTTTGTTTATAAATCCTACAAATCAGCTTCAGTGTAGTTTCATCTCCTTCTTCAGCCCTCCTAATTAGCCGTGAATTTACATTGTTACAGTGAGAACACAGCCATGCCATAAAATCGGTGGTGCTTGGATTTTGGCTGAAGAGTGCAGAATTATTTATAGTTGCCACTGCAATATTTTGTGGTTCCATAGATGATGATACAATGCACACAATACAATAATTGTATTTATTGCAGTCACATCCAGAGGCTCCAGTAAGGATTGGAGGCCCATTGTACTAGGCACATTACAAATGCTTAAGAAGACCTGCTCCCAAAGACAACCTAAAAGACTCATTGACTTTCAGTGAGACTTAGGTTCGTAAGGCCCACATTCTCAAGGTACTTAGGCACCTTACTCTCATTGAAAACTCTCACTGATTTCAATGGGAGTAAGGTGCCTAAGTACCTTTAAGGATCTTGGCCTAAGTGCTCAAGTCACTTTAGAAAGTGAGACTAAAGTTCCCAAGTGACTTAGGTGCTTTTGGAAATTTTATCCTAAATTCTGTTTTAACTAACACAGCATTAAAGACATTTGGTTAAGATAATAGGAAAGAATTAGGCCTTATTCTATCCTTTGCTTTTTATTGCATCCAAATGGGAACAGAGTTCATCTGCGGGATCGGGGCCTAATTAAAATCAAATGTTTAATGCAAATTTAAATTTCACTGGAGTTGAGGGTAACAGTAATGGTCTTAGAGAGTCTGCCTACGAGTGTCCCAAACCACATTACTTATTACTTTTGTAATGCTTGATGCTGTTACTGTCCTCTAAATGTCGGTATTATTTAATTCAGTGTGCTTTTTTTTTATTGGGGAGGAGAGAGATGAGGAAGAAGAAAGGGAGAGAATGGCAACGTTGGGAAGTTGCAAGCAGTGAGGTGCAGCAAGTCAATATCAGCAACTGTTAAATCTATTAACTGCAAATGTCTGAGTCAAAGAAGTCACTCTGGCAGAAAAGTTGACTCTGGCATCTCTGCAGGTATTGCTTGCTAGCCTGCCTGACCTCTTTCTCCTTCTGCTGCTGTTGCTGATCTGGGCTGAAGGGGAAGCTGGGAGAAGCTTCTCTGCTGGAGTTGTCAGCCACATGGGACAGCCTGGGAGCGCACCAGCGTGGCACCTTCTGGGACTCAGGGTCTCCAAGCAGGCTCCAGCAGGCTCCTCGGCCAGGGGAAACTTCCTCTTTGTTTAAGGCTACTATACATAAAAAGGCAGGATCTTAGTTCTGTCCTCTTTGTGGTCAACCAAGTTTCCCTCAATCCTATTTATGTGTTACCACAATTGTTATCATAGAGTTTCTATTAGCACTGGAAAGAGGTGAGCATGCTACATAGCTGTCATCCCCTCTGACCATTCCATTGAGACACCTTTCCGTGCCTTCGCTCTCTGCCAGCCTGTGCAGCAGTGGGAATAATACAGTCAATGCCCAGACAGTGCTTCAAAACACTGGGGCATCCTGGCTGCTTGTGGGGTGCTAGCAACATATAACTGCAGTGCAATGTCACTTGAGTGAGATAATATGTGCAAAAATGTGGGCATAATTTTAAAGGCAACTTTTGAAAATTTGTCCCTGAATGTCAGGGCTTCCATCTTTTTCCAAGAAAAACTATTCTACAGCCCAATAGATCTCACTGTCAGTAAGTGGACTTTAATAAGGATAAGAAATGTGGGTTTTAATTTATTATCTCTAAGATATCACGATATTATAGAAATGTAGAAGTACATTTAACTCATTATCTCATTAAGTAATGATGATCTCAGAACAGGATTTTTCCTGGGGATCAATGACCAGCTGGGGCTAGATACGCAGCTGATGATTGCCATTAACCCCAGCTGGTCAATAATCCCTGGTTAATCCACTTTTATTAGCAGTGGGAGTCATAAAGTTCTGGTAGTTAGCACAGAGGTCTGAGAGTCATGAGACCTGGATTCATGCCTCATCTATTCTATTCCTAACTCTGCCACTGACTCACCGTGTGACCTTTGGCAAATCACTGAGGGGCTGAGCATGCAACATACCACTTGAAGTCAATGGTAGTGCTGGGTGCTCTTCACCTCTGAAAATCAGGCCTTTAACCTCACTGTGCAATACCCATTTTAAATAGGACTTAGAAATCCTCAGATGTAAGGCACTGCCAATGGGGAATTCAAAAGTGTAAAATTGGCCTAATTGTGCTTCCATTGAAGTCAGTGGTCCATTGGCTCCAGCAGGAGCAGAGTTAATCTATGCAGAACACTTCTGAAAATTCTACCCTATATGTTATGGAGTATTATTACTTCTAACATAAACTGAAAATGAAGCATAACAGTACAGGCACATATTGCCAGATCCTCAGCTAGTGTAAATCCATGTAGCTCCATGGACTTCAAAGGAACTACCCTACTGTATAGCAGATGAAGATTTGGTCCATGGATTTTCTGTATGGGTGATGCAGTTTCAGCTGGTAAATACAGGGCATTTGTAGAGAATTAATTCCCTGTGCCATACATCAGCCATTCAAATGGACTGAATAATTTTGTCTTCATTTTTCTACATAACTGAGTTTTATTACTCCTTTCACTGTGGTACTGGGAGTATGTGTGTGTGTGTGTGGGTGGGGGGGGTGATCCACAATTATTTCTATTACTGCAGCTTGAATAATTCATTGCCAATGACCTTTGTGGCAAATGTGGACATTGAAGAATTATTTAACAAACTTTCCAAGCCTTCTAATTATCTTAGTCCTTTTTAGTCATTAGCAGATTTCTAATAGTCTTTAGCAAATGGGATAGGTTTACCATGCTGTTGGTTGGGTTAATTCACTCAGCCAAAAACCTGTTCTTTGGGGAAAATGTTTCCTACGTTTCTTTCTCTAGTTCTTCACGCATAGACGGCCACCAAAGTGTTTTACTTCCTGCTAAAAACCTTTTTAATGTCTGGCAGCCCCAATTTACCTGCAGGGCATAGCAGAGCAACCGATGAGACGCACCCCTCTCATTATTACTCTTGTGACAAAAACCAACAGCTTGTAGTCCCTGAGAAGAGGTGCAGGCAAGGGAATGCTTTTTGCGGGTTAGATGCTACATCATAACACCAGAGGCTGAATTATCTGCAATTTCCTTACCTGCACTTTGACCTTTTCAGCTTCGCTCCCTGATGATCTAAGGACCCTTATTGAAGAGGCAAAGGAAATGAAGTGGCCCTTCGTGCCAGAGAAGTGGCAATACAAACAAGCCATAAGCCCAGAAGACAAAACAAATCTGCAAGATATGATCAGTGCAAGGCTGCATGAATTACTGGTATGAAGTTCAGCACACCTGTTCCTTTAAAATCTACAAATGCAATTCTTGAGTGTATAGTGCCCTAGTCCTCTATATTTACTGCTACACAGATGACACCATTCCTCACTGTAATTTAGCAGACAATGACTTTGTTAATGAACTAATCTGAGGAAGCAGCTATCAGAAAAGGGCCAATCACACACAAACTAGATATGGAACTCCCATCGCTTCCCTAGTTGAATTCCCCAGATGAAATGAGGTTCCGATTAGTATGAACAGCTTAGAATCATTCCTGTTGTGATTTTAATGAATCCATATCCTGGAGACAGTGGCTTTGTGCCATCACTCTTCATGGAGTACCTAATCTCTAGATACGCTAGACATAATGAAAGCTGGAAGGATAAAGGATAGTATTGCTGTTCAGAAACTGGGAGCCCAGTCCTGCTCCCATTGAAATTAATAGGAGTTCTTCCATTGATGTCAGTGTGAGCAAAATCAGGCCTTTCTGTTAGATTTCTGGGCTGTGGGCTAGCTGAGACTCAGACTTGAACTTGAGATCTAAGATGATGTTCACCCCCATTCCCAGCTGGCAACCCAATGAGAGCTTTTAAGTTGATTATTAAGAGACTCTCTTGCTGTGCCTGACAGTGGGGCAAAATAGCCTAACTCAGGATATGTCTACACTACCCACCGGATTGGCGGGCAGCAATCGATCCAGCGGGGATCGATTTATCACGTCTAGTCTAGATGCGATAAATTGACCCCCGAGCGCTCTCCCATCGACTCCTGTACTCCACCGCCGCGAGAGGCGCAGGCAGAACCGACAGGGGAGCGGCAGCAGTCAATTCACCACAGTGAAGACACCGCGGTGAGTAGATCTAAGTACGTCGACTTCAGCTACGTTAGTCACGTAGCTGAAGTTGCATAACTTAGATTGATTTCTTCCCCCCCCCGGGTAGACCAGGCTTCAGAGCACAGCACATAGTGGGGAAATGAGTCCCGGTGGACAATGCAGGAGGTTGGCATCAGAGGATACGTATATGCTGTAATTAAAAACCCATGGCTGGCCCGTGCCAGCTGACTCGGGTTTGTGGGACTCTGGCTAAGGAGCTGATTAATTGCAGTGTAGCTGTTCGGAGCCTGGGCTCTAGGACCCTGCGACGTGGGAGGGACCCAGGGCTTGGGTTGCAGCCCAAGCCTGAACATCTATACTGCAGTTAAACAGCCCCTTCGCCCAAGCCCTGCCAGCCAAAGTCAGCTGGCATGGGCCAGCCATGGGTGTCTAATTGCAGTGTAGACATACCCAGAAAGGCTCCAGGCAGGATATAGTGGGTGGAAGCAGTGACATCTCCATGTGTACAAATATTTTGCTACTGTATAATGGTACAGGAAAGAAAGTATCTAAAAGGACTTTGATAGTATTCCCTCAAGCAGAACTAATTATATAAATGGGCAGGAATATGCCTACAAGGAATGATTTGTTCATTAATTCAAAACAAAAACATAAAAATAACTTTACTTCATTTATGCTGTTTACTAATCTCTGCACTTGATGCATTTGGGGTAGGGATGGCCTTTCTTCTGTTTTCGCCTTGCACAATGGGGTCCTGATCCATGACTGGAGCTCCTAGTTGCTATGGTAATACAAACAATAAATTAATAATAATAGATTAGTCACTTTCACTTTATTAGCCTCTTTAACGTTCCAGTGATCTTGCACTACTGTGATGCTGTTGTGTTCACGTTTCCAGCAAAAGAGGAGAATGTTTAAATCCTCCCAGAAAACTTTGCATTGACATTTAAAATAAAATCCTGAAATACATATTTATATAATATTTTGTAAAACCTGATTTTGGAATTTAGTTAAATGGGGCTGATAGCGCAGAGTATGGACTCCTCACATGAGTGAGGTCATGTGGGATTGGGCCCTCAGTTTTGGGATGAAACTCCACAACAGAAACCTGCAAAAATGTTTCTGCATCATGCAAGAAACCCCTTTGATTTTAATGGGGCTTTTCACAAGAGTAAGGATTACTCACCCAAGAAAGGTTTTGTAGGATTGAGCCCTAAACAATCAATATCTGGTGCCTAAAGACCCAAGCCTGGAAGGTGATGGATAAGAAAAAACCCACTTTTTCTCCAGCCTTTTCCAGTTATAGAAATATCAAGTTTGCTTGTTTGTTTATTTTGAAGTCAAATGTGATATTTAGATTCATGGTGCCTGTTTAAAAACAGAGTTAAACTAAAGATGAGGGGACTCCAGTTTTCCTCTCACTTATAGTGAGGTACATCAGGAGTAGTGAGCAGAGTTACACTGGTGCAAGTGAAAGAGGAGTCAGGCCCAAGAGACCTGGGGAGAAATCCTGGCCCCACTGACATGAATGGCAAAACTCTTCTTGACTTCACTGAGGCCGGGATTCCATTCTTGATCTTGTATACGGTACTTCACTGGGAGTCAGGCCTGAGTACAGCCAACAAGTTTTGGATCCAGGAACTTCAATCATATTTTTTACACATCAGCACAAATAGCTTTAAAAAAAGAAAATTGGAAGCTTGACTCGCACCCCTTACATGTTACTAATAAGTGGGGAGTGTTTGCTTTTGTACGCTCCACTGATAAGAAGGATTTTATTGTAATTCTCAATTTATTTTGGTATTTTCTTTTTTCTCTTGGTGTGTGTGGCCCTAGACAGAAATTTATGGCAGAGGCCGACCTCCTTTACAATCCTCACAAAGCTTTCTAACTTTGGAGCACTTGTCTGCTCTCTCCCAGGATAAACACCTGCAGTAAACTCCCCAAGAAACCGGGATAGATAGGAGATTAATGTGGCTGTAATAGTGGAGCAGTGTTTTCAGCATTATGCCCGCTCCCCAGGTAGATGGGTCTTTTCCGAGATGATACCAATTATTTATTGCCGAAACATCTGTTGATAACTGCAGCTGCCCTTGTTAAACAAAGCATATCATGGGGTCATAGACTATAGGGACCTAAAATCCTACCGCATGCTAGTTTTAAACCATTCACCAATACCCCCTGAAATCCATGGGTTACCGTCTTCTTCAATGTTTCATCGTGCCGTTGAAAATACTTTGTAAACGCTGTGCTGCCCTTCCCCGTGTGCTTTGAAGTATTATTTCATCTTCATCGGTAATTTATATTCCAGTGCTATTGTACTGTGGGGAAAAAAGGGAAAACCTTTTTTGTTTTCCATTTAATTGTAGATCGACTGACATTTTGACCTGTATTATTAGTATTAGTCAGGAAAAGGGATTTTTTTCCTCCTTCTTCCCCCCCCCCTTTTTTTTAATTTTAAATAAAATTTCAAGGCAGAGCAAGAGCTCTTTGAATCAAAGGCTGGGGAGGGGGGAGAAGAATGAGGCTGAAAAGGAATGTTTACAGTTTGATGAGGAAAGATAAAAGTCTGAACAACTTTTTCTTTTTTAATGTGGAGGGCAAAGAGATAATTAAATTCTCTGAAAGAAAAATAAGCCTTCGTAGATATTGAGGAAAACCTTTTAACAATTTTCATCTGCGTTTATACTAAATTATTAAGTTTAGAATAAGTTCTTAAATTTAATGAACTAAGGTTTGTAAAGTACTTTGAGATCTTGAATGAAAGGTGCTTTATTACCATAGAGCGTTGTTGCTATTATGAAGCGCCAGATTTTGATACCCTTACTCATGTTGGGTAATGACTTATGTGGTGAATAGTTTGTTGATTTCTTGGTTCTACCCAAAGGGAGTAAGTGTATTGGAATTTGGTCCTCAGCATTTGGCTTATTCTCACATTTTTAAAACTGGTGTATCAGTTCCTGGCTGCTGCATCTGTAGGAGGCACAAAGAGTTTGTCTGACCTGTCAAGGTGAGACGGCTTCCACCATTCTTTTAAACTGCTCCACTTCGTATTTGTTTCGGAATTTTTGCTTTTCCAATATGACTAAAAGATTATTTCCCTCCCCCATGTTTTTTTTTAAGTCCTATTTAGTCCAAATTCAATGGGAATCTTCCCTGCATCTCTTAGAAATGTCTTCTGATGAAAATTCACAGGCATATCCAAATGACCATCCCAATTTAACTGGCTCAACAAAGCGTTTCTCACATTTTTTAAACAGACAAACAGGTTTTTAAAGGAGTGGTCAGCTAAAAGTGAGCATATCCCCCAGCTAGTTACAGTGGACCTCATTCTGCAGGCTTCTTCAGCAAAAATTCCCATGAAGGGGGTATTTGAGCTGGGTAGAGACTTCAGGATGGAGCTCTCTATTTGTATCTAAAGCCAAAAAAATGTTCCAGTTGTCAGGAGATCCTAATGCTTCCAAACCCCAAACATGTGGAAGCGTCAGGATTTTTGTTTTACTCATAAGACTGCTTTTGTTTTCCTTTGTCAGACCATGGTAGCAACCTTAAATCTGGAAGGATTATGCCCTCTCCATAAGAAAACCACACACACCTGCAGGACTAAGACAGGTCTGCTGGCCCTTCAGTTCCAAAACCTGAGGCTTCTGCTGCTTATATTAGCCCTCTGAATGATCTCTGTTAGCTGTAAGCTATCAAAATGTCCCTATGTTCTGCTTCCAGCCTATAGAGGGCAACATGCCCACACACACACACACACACACACACGTATGTGAGTAG